GGGTTACTCCAAACCCTGAACCCTAAGCCCGAAACCCGAGGGCATAAGTCAGAATCCTCTTGCACCGGATGCTCTCAATCCTCTAGGGTTTAGGGTATAGGGTTTTAGTGTTTGGGGAGCCAGGAAACAGCCCAATCCCTGCACCCTGACTCGCAAAAGAAGCTACGCTGCTCGCCAACCGCAGGCAAAGACAAGGATTGGGTTTACTTGGGGTCTGGTGGCTTCGACTCAGTTAGAAGGGAATTCAAGGGTCCCAGCCAGGGCTTCGCTGAGGGATGAGGTGGAGGGTCGGCGGTTCTCGTCGAATGCCCGGGTCGGGGGTTTTTCGGGGATCACCAACAGCTCGAAGCTAAGCGCTGATTTGATCCCAGACGCCTACCAAGACTCGAAACCTTTCATTTTGAAGAGGCTTTCCTCCAGCCTACACTCCCTTCCACAATCGAACAAGTCTGAGGCCTGGTGCTGTACTGTAGTTGTACCGTAAGACAGTAATAGTGCAGTAATAGTACAGTAGTAGTACAGTAGTGGGTAGTAGTACAGTAGTAGTAAAGTAGTAGTACACTAATAGTATAATAGTAGTACAGTAAGAGTACAGTAGTACTACAGTAGTGGTACAGTACTGTACGAGTACAGAGTAGTAGTACAGTAGTAATGCAGTAGTAGTACAGTAGTAGTACAGTAGTAGTACAGCAGTAGTACAGTAGTAGTACAGTAACAGTACACACAGTAGTACAGTAGTAGTACAGTAGTAGTACAGGTATAGTACAGTAGGTTTAAGGTGTTTGGGGTTTAGGGTTTAGGGTTAAGGGAGGTTTAGGGTTTAGGGAGAGATTCGGGCTTCAGCACCTTACGGTTGACCCTTAGCAGAAAGGAAGCAAACTCAAACAAAGAAACGGTCGGCAGAACTGAACAATGCATTGTAGAGACCCCCCAAGCATTTTTTTGTACGGGCCTCCATGCGCATCCACAAAAACGCATTATAGAGTCGCACAGGCTTAGGGGCCCACACATTTTGTAAGATATGTCTCTGGGTACGAAAGGTGTACATTATGTGTTTGTGTCCGTGTTCATGTATGTATGCATACATGCATGCATACATGCATGCATGCATGCATGCATGCACAAATGTGTATATTACATATGTATGTGTATGTATGTATGTATGTATGTATGTAATGTAAT